TGCTGAACCCCTATAAAAATATTTCATGAGAATATCAAGCAGAATTGAAGAAACATTTAAACATCTAATTTACCAATTCCATACTATAACAGTGTAAGTTGTAAAACCATCCGTTTTGATAAGAAAAAGCCCTATCTCAAGCCAGCTGGTAGCATGGTAGTTAAGGCAGCTGGATCCCACATGGCTGACAGCAGTTTGAGTCCTGAACTCAACGAACTGAAAAACATGCCAGCCATGTGTGTGTGCATTTCCAAAATCCCAAGAGGAGAATGGAGAAAGGATTACAGTGTGGCCATCCCTCTGGGGGCTGCTCTCTCACTTTCCTCTCTCTCTCTCTGTCTACCTGCCTCGGAGCAGTGAGTGCACACACACTGAAGCAAATGTAAAGAAAAGAAAAAGCCCTATGTTAAAAAAAAAAAAAGAAAGAAAGAAAAGAAAAAAAAGACTCCCAGTCATCAAAATTCTACAAAGCAGAAACGCCATGTTCTCAAGTTTTCCGGAATCTATAAATTACTGGATAGTAATATATTGCTTTCCCTCACTGTAATCTTTGGTTATTTTACCTACTAAGACACAAAGAAAAATTATTTTAAGTAACAAAACACTGAATAATAGGAGTAGAAATTGCATGTTCAAATAGAGATCAACTATTCATATACAGAAGGCAATCTGTGTGTATTATAGTTCTGAAATTTAAGAAGTTACCATAAGACAACATAGTCTATGGAATCTTCAGTGGTAAGACTAATTAAATCCTTATAAGATTTTTTCAAACAATACAAAGCCAGATTTATTTATACTACCATAATTACTGAGGAGAACTTATCAAAAATTAAACCACATGAAAATAAATTACAATTAAATACTGATTGCTGCTAGAAAGACTCACTTATCTTCTGAGTAACTTGTAACTTAAAAAAAAAAAAGCAATATTCTGTTAAAACTGCTAAGCTACAATTATTAGGGACCTTTCCACAATAAATGTCCTAAGTATTAAACTATTCTTTAGAGTAATCTGAAGATCGGACAGTGAGTTGGCTATATAAACTCCTTCCCTATCAAAATGGATAAATTATTACAGACTGCACAGTAAATCTTACCGGTGACTTAAGATTGCTAAAATCATTTGTCTTTCTTTTTTTTTCCAAACAACTGGTTACTTGCTGGCCACTACACAAGTAATGTTCATTTAAAATATGTAAAATGCAAATATCTGTAAGTTTTTTTAAAAAAGTTAAGTCCATTCCCTTATTAGACATTTCTAAAATTTCAAGATTATAAAAAAGGCAAAGAAACATTTTCACATAAAATTTCTCATATAATTAAACCCAAAAATATAATCAAAGATACAATTCGTCGATAAACTATACAAAAAAGGTTGGTAAATTTTTTAACTTTTTAGTTAAGGAATCTCCTGGGGGCGGGGGAGGGGGCAGGCAGTTGCACAGTGGCAAAGCACAGTGATCTGAGTCAATTCCACATGGAAAGGTTCCTACTTTAATTTCATAAATGGAGGATAAAACTTCCACTAAAATGTTGTAAAAATTTGTTTTTGATATGAGGCTTGAGAAATTTCAAACACTGAGAAAAAGAAATCTGCCTAGAGAATGTAAGTTAATAAAGAAAATTAACAGTTCATACTATCTGTTCATTTGTTCAGTTGGCTGTACTAGTCTGATTCACCATTAAGTGAGGCTTATAAAATTTACATTTGGTAGCAAAGCAAAGCTGTCTCTAAAGCACCTTAAGAACTGCTTCCGGGGCCAACAGGTGGCCTGGTGGTTGGGGACTGGACCCCCCCTCATAACTGGCTTCGGTTTGAGTCCCAGACCTGGTGGTTTGTTCACTTTCCCTCTCTCTCCCTCTCTCTCTCTGATGAGTGCACATGGTCTATACCAAATTTAAAAATACTACTTATAACAAATACAACTATTTTTTAAAAAACTGCTTCCAAAATCTTTCATGGTTAATCAATCAGAATATAATGAGCAAAGTAAATGTGAGCAGCTAATCCTATCATCATACAAGAATATTATCAACGTCCAGAATTACCTAAAGGCTTGTCCTTTAGCTCTGGATTTGAGATCATTTCTACTTGTGCATAAAAGCAATCCAGATCCACATGTATTATGACTCTAGGTGAACTTCGTGTTGGCACCACTTGGTCATGAACTGCTACACAAAATGCAATGAAATAAAAAATATATTTAGGCTGCTTACTGTCTTTGAGCAACTGACACTTTCTTAAAACATGCTGAGAAAGAAGAATGCAGAATGGCTTTAAGTTTTTTCTCGGGTTTATGTGTCAAGGCATGTAAAAATTAGACACAAAACTGTCTACAGTAGGGTCTTTAGTCCTGTTTCCTTAATTTGTATTGGTATACTACATTTTTCATGAGATAGTAATAAATTTGAGGAAAAGCTCTTAATAATGGATGATGTAATGAATACTACTAACACTGGAACATTTATAGTAATTTTTATAATCAGGACAGAAACATTGAAAAATGTTAACTTGAAAATTATTCTAAGTGATAGATCTTTGTATTTAAAAAAAAGAATACTACTAACACTGGAACATTTATAGTAATTTTTATAATCAGGACAGAAACATTGAAAAATGTTAACAACTTGAAAATTATTCTAAGTGATAGATCCTTGTATTTAAAAAAAAAATCTGTAATACATAATAGCAAGACAACCTGTGAGCTTCTGTGAACTATATTTAGCTCCCATATGACAGCAGACTATCTGGTTTACTGCAAAGTTGTCAGTGCCAAGAGCACCCAAGAAATAAAAAAACAAACAAAAAAACTACCAAACAATAGTCACTAAACTGAAATACTGAATACATATTTGACTTTGAAAAAGTAACTTATGTCAGGCAGGCTGTGACATGATGGTTAGTCCAGCTTGATCCTAAATGGACAACGGCACAGTTAAGAATCTAGCAGCAGCTACACCGGGGAAGGTGTGCACATGTGCCCAAAATCCCACAAGGAGGTAAGAGATGGAGGATTGCATCGTGATCATGTCCCACTCTCCATGTCTGACAAGCACAAGTGCCCTCTAGCTATTAAAAAACAAAAAAGTTAACATATGTCAAAGGTGGAGAAGATGACAAAGACAATTCCTCTCAGCGCCGGTTAAACATAAGATTAAACGCAATATGGTACTCTAGTTTGGTCTCCGCAGAGAAAGGACACTAGAGGAAAAAACAGTAAAAATCTAAAACTGTGTAGTTCAGTCAACAGTATTATACCAATGTTAATTTCTTGGCTTTGATGAATGTACCAAGGTGACCTAAGAGTTAACATTGGAGGAATCTACCTTTGCAACTTTTCTAAAATTATTCCAAAAAATTTTAAAAGGGGCTAATGAGAATGTGAACCCAGTGTCTTTGTCTCTAGGCCCGGGCTTAGATGGAGGTAGGGACCAGAGAGACTGGAAGCGGGTCACCCGAAAGGCAACCACTGCGGACGTGCCTCCTCCCACGTTCCGGGCGGTCATTCCTTCCCGCACGGGCCAGGCCAGGCCTCAACCTCTGCAACCTCCCAACTTCAACCCTAAGCCGCCCGGGAGCCTCCGCAGTTTTCGTGGAGTTGACGAACGAATTCCCGTCCTCCTCAAGCTCCACCGGAGTGGGGAGCAGGTACAGATGCACCCACGATCTGCTCACGACCCATCTTATTCCTACACGGCGAAGCCATCCCTCTCGCGGTCCCCGCCCGTAAACAGAAGGCAGAGAAGGGCAGCTCCCCCTGGGCCAAGCCGAGAAGATCAAAGCAGCCAAACGGGGCGGAGACCGTCGCGCCCCAACGGCCGCCGCCCGGGGCCTCCGCCCGCCCCGCCCCGCCCTTCTCCTTTTCACCCAGGAAGGCCACCGGGCTCTCCACGCCCCGGCGCACCCTGAGAGTAGCCTGCCTCCCCCGAACCCGTCAGCTCCATGGTCCGAGCCTCTTTCTCTTCCTGGTCGTAAACCACTTCCGCCTTAGGCTCCACCCCCCCTGCGGCTCCATCCCTCAGCGGCCAACCGCAGAGCAGCTTCCTACCGCTTCCTCCTGATCTCCATGGGAACCGCGAGCCGACCTCCCCAGCGGCTCCAGGCTCTGCGCCTGCGTAGTGGAGGCCGAGCGGTCTGTTTGCTGGAGTGACCTGGGAGCCTGAGAATCCTGAAGACCCACGTGCTCGAGTTGTCTTCTGCTCTGGCAAGAGTGGAAATGAGGAATTGAAGTCCGAAATAGCCTTTTATTTTTCTTTTCATTTCTTGAGGGCTTTGGAGTTAGGCCCACATCAAGAAAAAATTTTTTTAATCTTTGTTCTGACCGCCAGATCAACTGTTAGCAAAATCAATCATCTTGATCAACTGTTAGCATAATTACTGATCCCTACACCTGAACAGTTTATGGGGATAGAGAAGGGGAAGGGGTGTGAATTTGGTAAGAACAAGGTGGACATGTAAACTAATAAAATTAGCAGCATGTTAGGGTTTGTTGCACTGTTTCTTTTTTCTTTAAAGAGACCGTTACAAATTGGACCACTAAATTTTTTTTCGGTTCTTGGTTTTTTTATTTTAGATTTTTGCCATAGGTTATGTAGAGATAAAGACACGGAGAAAAGGAAAGTGAGAACATCTCCCTCCCCACCCATGACCACCCCATAATCCCTTTTCCTCCATTCCCTTGGGATATTGGGCACAAATGCACACATGGTGTGCCACTGTGTCCAGGATGCAAACATGAGTCAGCTATGTGAGATCCAGCGCCTTAACCGCCATGCCACCTGCTGGCCAACGTCCCTGAAATTTTAACATTGAAAAGGAATGGAATTTTGAATTTGGGAGTCAGATTAAAATCTAATCCATTTTGCTGTGTGACTTTGAGCAGTTACAAACTGCTCTGAGCCTCAATTGCTCCACCGTGGGGAAATTTTTAAAAGTGCAGAGACCAGCAGATGGCGTCATGGTTATGTCGCTGGACTCCCTGGTAGCCGACCTGGGTCAAGTCCAAGACCCAGAGACTTAAAAAAACTGGGTGCGGGACCAGTTAGTGTAATGGCTATGTCGCTGAACTCCCACGTAGTCGACAACGGTTCGAGTCCCGGACCCGGTGGCTTAAACTCACGCTGGGCGCGTGTGCGTGCGTGCCCAAGATCCTGAGAGGAGAATGGAGGAGAAGGGATTGCGGCGTGGCCATCCCCCCTGGGGGGTGATTTCTCGCTTTCTATCTCTCTGCCTGGTGACCACATGCCCAATAGCGAAACCCCCCCCCAAAAAAAAGCTGGGTGCATGTGCGTGCATGTGCATGCCCAAAATCACCAGAGGGGGATGGAGGAGAAGTAACTATAGTGTGGCCATCACCCCCAGGGGCTTATTTCTTGCTTTCTGCCTGTCTCTCTCTAATCTCTAAATTAAAAAAAAAAAAATGTATCTTGAATGTCTTGAGATTAAATGAAAGAATATGGGGGCAACAACTAGTGCATACTTTAATATTCTAGGCACTTAGGAAGTGCTCTGTAAGCATTAGTTCTCTTTGTCTTCTATTAGGTTGTGCTGGGTGCCCCCTACGTGTTCCTGTTTGTGTTTATCTTCTAGTGGAGGAAATCTCTTTCTACGCATACATACACATGGACATCAAAAGTTCATAGAAAATAAAATACCAATTTATTTTGGTGAAAAATATACTTTAATATTCTAGGCACTTAGGAAGTGCTCTGTAAGCATTAGTTCTCTTTGTCTTCTATTAGGTTGTGCTGGGTGCCCCCTACGTGTTCCTGTTTGTGTTTATCTTCTAGTGGAGGAAATCTCTTTCTACGCATACATACACATGGACATCAAAAGTTCATAGAAAATAAAATACCAATTTATTTTGGTGCAAAATAAATTTTAAATTCATGCGTAGTTTTTCATAATATACATTTTTCATGAAATTTATGAGGAACTCTGTGTGTGTGTGTGTGTGTGTGTGTGTGTGTGTGTGTGGAGAGAGAAGAAAAAGAATATATGTATATATTGTATGTATAAACTCTTGCACATATATTTTGGCTTTTTTTTTTTCTTTTTAAAAGTTTATTTCATGAGAGAAAGAGCCCATACCCCCAATAGGGTCCTAATGCTGCGATCTACTGCCAACCTTCAGCCAACCCATTGTACTCAGGAAGGTCCTGGACTTGAACCCAGAATCTTTCCACATGGGGTTGCATTGTAGAGCTTTGTATTTTAATGTTGTGCCACTATCTGGACCCTGTCCTTTGTTTTTACATGATTCTGCTTATCAAATAGTTTGTCATAGGGCGGGCGACACCACGCCCATATCAAATAGTTTGTGAGACCCTTGAGAAATCCTGGAGGTGACATGTTGATGCATCCATAGAGAAGAAAGAATACGCCGAGCTGGAGCTCAGTGGTTTGGAGACCCAGTATTCTTCGTAGGGTATTTAATTCTTAGACACCCACACCAGTCCTCTAGCGATGTTCTGTCTTAGATCTTTTTTTAAAAAGAATTATTTACTTTATTTATTGTCATTATTCTACAATTTGGCCAGAGAAAGACAGAGAAAAAGGAGGAGAACGAGAAAGCAAGCTGCCAGACCCAGGACCAGAAACACAGTTGGCAATGTGGAAATCCAGCGCTTCAATCACCACGCCACCTGCTGGCTGCTGTGTTAGATCTTAGTCCCTGCTAAAGCTATGCTGCTTTCTTTGTGTATGCTGTTTGGTAAATCTTGATAAAGAGCTTTCAAATTGTAGACCAGCAGATGGTACCATACTCCCACATGGCCAACTGCAGTTCATGTGCTAGTCCAGGCAGCTTGAAACTCATGCTGGGTGCACGTGTGTGCATGCCCAAAATCCCAGGAGGAGAATGGAGGAGAAGGGATTGTGTGTGGCCATCCCCTTTGGGGAGTGATTTCTTGCTTTGTCTATCTCTCTATCACGTGCATGTGCCCTACCTATAGCAAATAGTTCTCTCACCCAAAAAAAAAAAAAAAAAAACTTTTGTATTGAATACTTCTTTGAACACTAAGCAATCTTAGACTATAAATTAAAGGTCTAACTACTAGTAGACAACTAAGAGTCTTGTTATTGTTTGTTTGTTTAATTTATCCAGATTGAGAATGATGCATACCACTGAAATACCATGGCAGATTAAAACAATTCCTTTAGAAGAGCCTGAGGCTCACTAACATTCAACAGGTTGCTTGAGTAAAAGTGAGCTAGCTTTGAAAACCAGCCCATATAATCAAGTCTTTTTTAGTTAGTTGCATTTTTTTCCCCCATTAGTTGTCAGACTTAGAATGGCTTCTAATTTAGAGGAAGGAGAGACAAGGAGGTGCTTAGAAGCCATAAAGGAGCAAGTAGCCATTTGTAAACGTGTCACCTAAGCAGTCGCACAGGCCCCCACACTTGCTTTAATGTTCTGCTATTGCCTTAAAATTTTTCATGATTTTTGAAAAGGAAGTCCTCATTTTCATTCTACACTGGATCACACAAATTATTTAGCTGGCACTGGGAATGAGAAAGAGAGTGACATAGAAAATGACCCTCAAAAACACCTGTATATTGGGCCAGTAGGTGGCATGGTGATTAAGGCGCTGGGCTCACACATGGCCAGTCACGGTTTGAGTCCTGGACCTGGTGGCTTGCTTTCTCACTTTACTTCTGTCTCTGTCTTGTGAGCACATATCCCCTACAGCAAATTTTAAAATAGTAATAATAATAAATAAAATTCAATAAATAATTCTTAAGAAAAACAAAAAATACCTGTCTGTCAAGCACAGGGCTGAGTGTGAAACAGATCATTCTGTTTAATACAATAATAGCCCTACAAGGTAGGGATTATTATTCCAATTTTACCAAAAATTAAACAGACTAAGAAAGCATAAAGTGCTTGTTTAAGGTTATGAATCTAGTAATGGCGGATCCACTTTTCAGTTGTCCACAGAGAAGAATGTTTTAATAATATTTCCTACATAGAGGAAATCAACACCTAAGGCCATTTTCCTCAGTGTTCCAAACACCAGATGAGTTGGAATGGAACAAAAATCCCTCAAGTATCTCAGGAGGCATAAAAAATAAAATATATCTGTGCTACCATGTGTTACTTTATTGTGAGATATCTTAGGAAAAAATTGTTTAATTCTACAGATTCCTCTCCCATTCCCCACCATTTTAATTAATAGGCTCTACTCCAGGATAATTTCAAGAAACAAATATCTTGAATTTGGATTATAATTGTATATTTAAATGCCAAATGAGAAAAATAATTGCAAGGCAGAATAAACATAGCTAATTAAATAAAATTATGATCAAAACTATATTCATGGGATAGTAAAGCAGAGAGTTTATTAAGAGAGGGAAGGTGGGAACCAGCAGTTATCGTAATGGCTATGTCGCTGGACTCTCACATAGTCGACCGCGGTTCGCGTCCTGGACCCGGGTAAAACTCATGCTGGGCACGTGAGCGTGCGTGCCCAAGATCCCGAGAAGAGAATGGAGAAGGGATTGCGGCGTGACCATCCGTGGGTGATTTCTCACTTTCTGTCTCTATGTCTCTGTCTGGGGAGCACACGCGCCCTATAGCAAAAATCTCTCCAAAAAAAAAAGAGAGTGAAGGAAGAACAGAGCTCCAGACAGGGAGTAGTCCTGGAAAATGGGTATCCATAGAGAATCTGAAGTGAGGGGTTTTTATCTGAGTCAGAGGAGCTTTGTTCTGACTTCTTATGCATGCATTCCCCTTGTGGTGGTGGTGGTGGTGGTGGGTGTCATGTGTCCTAGAGACTATGCTAATAATGACTGTTTTGGTAACTTGTTAGTTTAGAGGCTGTTAATTTGGGAAAAGCTGTTATCTCAGTTCACTTTGAAGGCTTAGAGGCTGTTAATTTTGAATTTTACTACGCTGGCATCAGAAAGTCTTATCTTCTGTCAGGTTATGAGAGGCAAACAAAAACAAAAACAAAAATAAAAACAAAAACAAACAAACAAAAATAACTCCTGTATT